AGAAAGCTGGAGAGAGAGAGGGAGAAAGAGAGAGAAAAAGGGAGTAAGATGGAGAGAAAAAGGGAGTGAGAGGGAGCGAGGGAGAGAGAGCGGGATTAAAATGGAGAGAGAGAGGGAGTGAGAGGGACTAAGAGAGAGAAAGGGAGTAAGATGGAGAGAAAAGGGAAGTGAGAGGGAGAAAGAGAGACAAAGGGACAAAGAGAGAGAGAGAAAGAAAGTGACAGGGAGAAAGGGAGAGAGAGAAAGGGAGAAAAAGAGAGATGTAAGACGGAGAAAGGAAGGGAGTGAAAGAGAGAGATGAAGAGAGAAAGGGAGTGAGAGGGATTCAGAGGGAGAAAGAGAGAGAGAAAGGGAGTAAGACGGAGAGAGAAAGGGATTGAGAGGTAGAAAGAGAGAGAGAAAGGGAGTAAGACGGAGAGAGAAAAGGAGTGAGAGGGAGAAAGAGAGAAAGGGAGAGAGGGAGAGAAAGGGAGTAAGGTGGAGAGAAAAAGGGAGTGAGAGGAAAAGAGAGAGAAAGAGAGAGTGAAGATGGAGAGAGAAAGTGAGTGAGAGTGAGAAAGAGATGTAAAAAGGGAGAAAGAGAGACTGAGCGAGGGGGGAGGGGCAGAGAGAGCGAGAGAGGCAGTACAGGATCACAACAGCTGAATGTACTTAGTAACCTCTGCAGTAACCCTGGATCTAGGACAACTGCAAATGCTCTAGTTTTCAGCATATGTAAATGACTCGGAAATTGGTCCCTGCTTTGAGTAAATTCTTAAATCTCAGGATCGAACACTTGAAAACCTCGATAAGCTGCTGGGCCACGACTGGTAAATACACGTATCACACTTTTTTTGTATTTAGTATTTTAAAATCTCTATCGGTTTAACATTCGGCTAACTGACAGTTCTGATGTGGCACAACATGGAGCTCTGTAGAGGTTCATTATGTTAATTTTACACTATTTTACTGAGGTGGAGTGGCCAAAATTGTACTCACGTAAGAGTAATGTTACTTCAAAATAATATTACCTCACTAGGAGTGCCAAGAAAAGTTAAAAAAAAAAAAAGTATTCGGGAAAACTACTACTCAAGTAAAAGTAGCATAAAGAGTAAGTCTTGGGAAGTAACATCTGGTTTATAATAAAAAATTAATGACATTGGAAGGACAAAACGTTAAATAATGCACAGACTCTGGTGCTTTCAAAGGATAGACACAAAAATGAGACAAACTAAATAATATCTGAACGTTCAAATCATTTCATATTGTCAAGAGTTTTTGTTATTTTTATGCTCACTCACAGTGGGAGGAGGAACCAAAACTTTTACTCAATACTCAATAAAAACAACATGGTAACACTTTATTTTAGGGTACACTCAATAACATCTAACTACCTGTTAATTAGCATAGTTGTAGAGAGTTAATTTCTCATTAATTAGTATTTATTCAGCTCTTATTAATGTCTAATTCCCCATGAGCTTATTCTGCTATTAGTTAGACATTTATAAACACTTTTCTATTAATACACTTTTATTACTGCTTCTTACTATGATACTAGGCCATTTTTGTCCATGAATTGTTTTGTACGACTACCTATTTATATATGAACTATTAAAATGCATGTCACAATACATGAATTAAGTGTGAAAATGAGCCCACTTTAGAAAAGAAACCATATTTCATTTTAATTTGTGTCAAACTCATCATTTTCTACCGATCAAAATATCGCTTTAGATTGGGGAAAATATGCAGAGCTTAATGACTTAATTAATTGCTAGTTGGACTCTATTAACACCTAATAGAGAGTGTTTTATTACACAAGAGTAAGCAAAATGTATTAAGTGCAAATAAGTCAAAACTACCGTAAATTCCGGACTATTGAGAGCACTTGAATCTCAGCTGCATTAACTACATTTTAACAAAATTTTGAAATTGTACATACATAGGCTGCACCTGAATATAAACTACAGGTGTCCACGTCTTCAAGAAAGTTTTCAAGTTCGGTCCGTCTGCTTTTATCGCCTCTGAAAGGTTTTGTCATCTTTTTTGCATTGAGTCAGTTCGTCATGCTGCCGTCGCCAAAATCTTACCATCGACTCGTTGATGCCGAGCTCACATGCATTTCTTTGTATGTTTTCCATGAGGAGGGTGTGTGCATGACACAATCAAATGAGCATCTTCCTCGGCGGATCACCCCCGTCTCTCCCCGCGCATGTCTCCTGTAGAAAGAGCCTCTGTCCTGTCTGTATCATGTCAGTGTCTTGTAGGATTTCAGCAGATTTCAGACTCTTGGGAGCGGGGCTAGTTCTGTCAGTCAGGTATGAGTGGACGTCCGGCTACTGAAGTTGGAGACGTTTCTTACGCACACGGGTAAGACTGTATCCCCCTCACTAATGTTCATTTAGCATCATAACGTATTTGATCACATGGTGGCAGGGCATTTGAGAGCGCTGTTAACCCTAGTGTTACTCGCACAGACAGCGGCGTTTTCTGCACTCGGGCTGCGTTTATCCTCTGTGTTACCAAACCATAGAGCGTATATATGAATAGACAATGTGCCAAACAAAGAATCCGTCCATATACTCGCTGCATCGTTTTATTAGCCGCAGGGTTCAAAGTGTGAGAAAAAAGTAGCGGCTTATAGTCCAGAATTTACAGTACATTTATTGTGGTACTAGTCCTTAACAACACGCTTATTACCAAAAGCTTATTGGGATCATTATTCATGGACAAAAATTGCTTAGTATCATATTAATAAGCAGTAATAAGGAGTGTATTAATGGATAAGTGTTTGTAAATGTCTAAATAATAGCAGAATAAGCTTATGGGGAATTAGACATTAATAATGGCTGACTAAATATGAATTAATGACAAATAAACCATCTACTATGCTGATTGGCAGGTAGTAAGATGTTAATAAGTGTACCCTAAAATAAAGTGTTACCAACATAATATTACTCAAGTAGGAGTCATGGTATATACTCTGAGACATTTTTTTTTAAGTTCAAAAAGAGTACAACTACATCTGCTATTGTAGAACTTATACAAATATGAAATGCACTAATATGACTGAAGTGGTGAGAGAAAGAACATTAGAGAGATCATTACTTTGGTACACAAGGTACATTTTCCTACTTTTCCAATATCTGAAAGTACAAAACATAACAACAAAACATAAAAGTAAGTGTGCATGAGCTAAATATAAAGCGTACGTATTCATTTGTGTGCTAGCCTCTCCAGACTGGCCTGACTTCATTTAGTCTGAATGAGTCTGGAGAGGACCACATTAGATTAGTGTAAATGGGCCCTAATGATCCCACTGGGCTCATTTAAGCATGGCACGCACAGTGGGGAGTATAAACATTACAGGCAACACTTCAGGAAATACTGACAATTAATCTAATATGTTAACTATTTTTATGCATTCAAATACATTTCTATGATGTATAGCCCTGGTGTTGACGTCATTATTGGCTTTATGGAGGGAGCGCTGTGTGCAAATGTCAAAACTTAAAGTCCGTGAAGGATGTTTCTCAGTGAAAATGTAATTGACTTAACTAAACTTTGTAATCTTTCCAAAAGTTTTCTAGGTCAAAGAAAAACAACAGACTGACCTTTTTCAACATTTGCTGTTTAAAGGACTGTACGTAACTAATATTTTTATTCTATATTTCATAAACTTGGCCTACTGCATGTGTGTTCCCAGATACGAGGTAAACATGTTCTAATCAAATAGCTTTTACTCTTTACTTTGGACATGTCCCATTGATTTATGTTAGAATTTGGTGTTTTGCTCCTTAAGACGATTATCCAATTAGAAAGCAGAATGAGCCTCATGTGACTTTGATTTGGTTTGCCAGTTTCAATGCAGAAATCCAGTTGGTTTAACCCTAAAATCCCTCTCTCTGATCTGAATTGTCACTTTCTAAACCCCAGCATCTGCAGTCAGTCATTGCTTAGTGCTAGTGCAACCTCTGCAGCACAGGGAGGGAATTCTGAAGGTTCTAAGAAAAACTTCTATGAGGCCTCTATCTGCAAGTTAAGACACTCGCAACCAAGGTTCAGTTGTAAGTGGAGACTACATACAGTTCCTTTAAGTGAGCTTCAACTTTACTGTCAATATTGATTTCTTAACACTATTGGATAAAAAAAAAAAAGAAATTTAAATATTTAGAAATTGTTGTGACTTTTTAAAATTAACAAACTAATTATGAAAAGCAAATATGTATGTTGTGTTAAAGGGACAGTCCAGAATTTTGGACATAGGACTTAATTTCTTAGTGAGCCAGAGTGTTGGAGATGTGTGGAGACACTTTTTAAAATGTTCCATCCAGTCCTTGTATTTGCAGAGGTCGCTGGTGCTAGGCTAGTGCATGTCAATGGCCATAGTTAGCCTGCCACTAAAAACAGTCTTACCCACTCCACAAAACACCTGAAGCAAAACAATTCTAACACCAGACTGTCGATGTGATCTTGCATTTGAAGAAGTTATGTTTGAGCAGCAGCAGCATGTTGTACTTCCTGATAGAAAGCTTGGCAGCGGCGGACTGATATATGAGAAAATAGTCCCTCAACATGCGACGATTCATGTGATGCAAGGTTAGTTTTATTTCAAACATTATTCTACCAACACATACATTCACATCGACAGTCTGGTGTAATAATAGATTTGCTTCGGGTGTTTTGTGGAGTGGGTAAGACTGTTTTTAGTGGCAGGCTAACTATGGCCATTGACATGCACTAGCCTAGCACCAGTGACCTCTGCAAATACAAGGACTGGATGGAATATTTAAAAAAGTGTCTCCGCACATCTCCAACACTCTGGCTCACTAGGAAATGAAGTCCTATGTCCAAAATTCTGAACTGCCGCTTTAAAGTCTTGTTTTTAATTTTATCCTTCATATATGGATACTAGTATGAATGAATAATGCCCTGTGTCTTTGAGTGTAAAACTGATAGATTATTATTATTTATTATTACATATGTAGGTTAGGTATGTGTGTGCGCCCCCTGTTGTTTACCTCGATGATGTCTGCATTGGTGCGGCTCTCGTGCGGTTCGTTGTACTCTGTGTACTTGAGCAGAACTTTGTCCATGTCTGTGCTGGCGTATTGGAACAGCTTATTGGAGTGGTTGAAGATGATGAGGGCGATCTCGCAGTCGCACAGCACGCTCAGCTCGTACGCCTTCTTCATCAGGCCGAACTTCCGCTTCGTGAACGTCACCTACGGGACACAGGGAGGGACAAGATACATCAAGAAAGTGCAAAAAACAACAACAAAAGGCCTGCACTCGTACTGTTTTAACAAAGATACTGCAATCACAATAAGCCATATGGATTTTTAAAATTTATTTCTTTTTCTTTCTTCTTTCTTTTATTTTTTTTCAGCCGATACCAATTTCCAATATTTGGCCTGCTGCTGTGTCTATAACCGACATTTGCGGATACTGATATTTAGCTTTTCAAATCCATAATAAAGTCTGCAAAGTTGAAGTAAAGATCACAAATGAATAGAGATTAGGGGTGTAACGATATCCAAGTCTCATGATACGATATTGTCACGATATACATCTCACGGTACGATATTTATTGCAATATCATGGGAAAGCTCACGGTCACAATTAGGGATGTAACAATATCCAAACCTCGCTCTCTTAAAATGCCTTGACAAGACTTAATCCAAAGGACTAAGACTTAAAAGTGCTTAGAATTGTGATTTCCTCTTGTAGTTTACACTGAAATGGAGCAAAGGATCATGGTCTATGTAGTTCCCTCTGTCTTTTTTTTTAGCTATTTTTGCACCATAGCTCTTAATTTAAGCAAAGACACTTGCAATTCGATATGTTGTGATGATCCATGATATTATTGTGAGAACTTTGACGATACAATATCACGATATTTTGGTTATTGTTACATCCCTAATAGAGACGGTACAAGACAAAACTGCCACAAGATCGTCCACACAAAAGAACATTTATCTCATGAGATTTTTTCCCATGTGTTTACATTTAGATTGGACAAAAGGGTTACGTGTTGGTGAGTTACGTCTCTTACAGTTTCAAAAAGCAGTACTAGAAAGGAAACAAAACTATGAAATGAAATAAATAACAAAATTGTGAGACCTAAATTGGAAACTGAACCGTGAAATGTATACAGTATATTAGGAATTATGTTAAAATCTCATTTTGCCTCGTTCTTGTGGACCCAATCTCGTATCTCGTCTCGTCTTATGGAAATTTTGTCTCGACCTATCCCTACAAATGAACTTACATGATTGTGTAAACATACAACCATTAACTCTTTTAGTCATGAGCCTGTTTTAAAAGACAAATCGGATGCTGATATCAACAAAAATAGATCAGTATTGGCAGATACGGGAACCAATATAGTTTTGGAACACACTTTTTCAATTTTTTTTATTAATTAATCATTAATTAATCATTGCATTTATATAGCACCTTTCAAGATACCCAAAGCTCTTTACAGTTCATTATTCATTCACTCAACACTCAGTGGTGATAAGCTACTACTGTAGTCACAGCTGCCTTGGGGCAGACTGACGGAAGCGAGGCTGCCAATCTGTGCCATCGGCCCCTCCGACCACCACCATCACTCACGCACACACCACTTTCATACTAGGCAATGTGGGAGAAGTGTCTTGCCTAAGGACACAACAACAGTTTTTGCGACTGCTACCCCACTGTGGCACCTAATATTCCCAGAGGTCTCCCATCCAAGTATTAACCAGGCCCAGCCCTGCTTAGTTTCTGAGATCTGACGGGATCATGCTTTGACAAGCCAGTATTGCCATTTTGCTGTTTACTCTCGACCAAAACATATTCTGAACTTTTGATTCATCAAAGTGTCCATTTTTGGCAGATATAAGAGCTGAACGCACTCATGGCTCATTCTTTTTACAAAAAAAATAAAATTCTTCAAGTCTGTTGCAGAAGTTCTCATAAATGTGTGGCACTTGTAAGTTGCTTGGTTTTCACTCTGTCCAGTTCATCCCAAAACCAGCTCGATGGAGTTTAAGTCTGGAGACCATGTTTTCAAGCTTAACATCTTGTTCTTTTTTCCTGAGGTAGTTTTGGCAGAGCTTGGACTTGTGTTTTGTATCTTTTATCTTTTTTAACCACTGTTCACTTCTTACCTTTGTAGCATTTCAAGCTCTTCATTGGACTTGCACAACTTGAATTACAATAAATAACTGGAAAAATAATAGTGTTCTAAACCTTTTGACTGATCACAACTGAGCTAGGTCACCATGGTGCCTTAATCTGCAGATAGAGGACACACAGTTTTTTCTCATTCTCAGTATATAGACAAGCCTCACGTGAAAGCTCAGAACCTCCAGAATTCCCTCCCTGAGCTGCAGAGGCTGCACTAGTACTGAGTCATGACTGGATGCAGGTCCTGGGCTTTAGGTAGTGACCATTCAGATCAGAGAGAGACATTTTAAACCAACTGGATTTCACCGTTGAAACTGGCAACCCAAATGTGAGACTCATGTGAGGCTCATTCTGCTTTCTAATTGGATAATCAACTTGAGAACTAAAATACTAAATTAATATCATCATGTCCAATGTTTTAGTAATTGAGGATAAAACAGCATTAGAATTGTTAAAAATGATATTTGATTTTAACATGTCTACATACTCCCTTGATCTGAAATAAATCTGTTCTCCTTTGCTTCTTCAGTGTTATACTTTATTTCTAAATGTGCTGTATACGGTGAGCTAAGAGCCCTTCCTCCTCTCTTAGCTCGTCTCCTCCAGCCTTGATCAGAGCGCAGTCCCGGGTTTGATCTCCGGCTCGGCTGCTGGGAGAGTTGGGATTAATTTGACTAAAGAAAATTAAACATCAGCGGTCTGAGATGTGGTGAGTTATGAGACGGTTTCTAGAAACACGCCCCTCTTTCAGCTTCTTCTCTGCTCACTGCCACAGCCACTTTGCACAGCAGTCAAACTTCATCAATCTCTATTTAGTTTACTATTTTTGTTGGACTTCTCAGCACAAATATATGTTTATTTTCCAGGCCTTTGATTTTCTCATAGTAGGGTTGGGTAATATGAAAAAAAATAAAGAAATAAAATGAAAAACAAATAATTTTTTTCCCAACATTTTTCAATAAACAATACAGAATATTTAAGACTGCCATTTAAAAAACAAAAAAAGACACATTTCTTCCTCTCTTCATCTCTTTTCCACCCTCATCACTTTCTCTCTGCTCTCTCCTCCTCAGACTACTCTCTCCTTTCTTTCCCTCCTCTTCACCCTCTCTCTTCATCACTCTTTTTCTGCACTCTCTTCTCTCTCTCCTCCTCGCACAGCTCTTTCTCTCTCCTCTACTCTTTTCCTTCCCTCGTGTTCTCTCCTCTGCTTGTTCACACCCTAGTGCAGCTCTCTCTTCTTCCCTTGTCTTTCTCCCCATCCTTTCTCTTCTCTTTCTCTCTCCTCTGTTGTTTTCCTTCCCTCCTCATGTCCTCTCCTCCCATCGTTCACACCCTAGCACAGCTCTCTTTTCTTCTCCCCTTCTCTCTCTTTTCATCCTTACACCACTCCTCTTTCCTCTGCTCTTTTCCTTCCCTCTTCATGTCCTCTCCTTCGCTTGTTCACACCCTAGCACAGCTCTCCCTTCTCCCCTTGTCTCTCTCTCTTTCTCTCTACATAGTTTCACCAGTCTTTCTCTCTCCTCTGCTCTTTTCCTTCCCTTCTCATGTCCTCTCCTCCGCTCGTTCACACCCTAGCACAGCTCTCCCTTCTCTCTCTCTCCATCCTTACACCACTCTTTCTCTCTCCTCTGCTCTTTTCCTTCCCTCCTCATGTCCTCTCCTCCACTCGTTCACACCCTAGCACAGCTCTCTTTTCTTCTCCCCTTCTCTCTCTTTTCATCCTCACACCACCCCTCTTTCCTCTGCTCTTTTCCTTCCCTCCTCATGTCATCCCCTCCACCCGCTCACACCTTAGATGGCATCCTTTCCCTCTCCTCTTCACACCATTCGCTCTCCGTCTTCTCGTTCCGCTCTCTCCTCCTCATCTCTTCTCTCCTCCTCTTTCTCTCTGCTCTCTTTTCCTCACACCACTCCCTCGCTCCTCAGCTCTTTTCCTTCCCTCCCCATGTCCTCCCCTCTGCTCGTTCACACCCTAGCACAACTCTCCCCCCACGCTCTTCTCCACCTTACCCCACCCCTCTCACATCCTCTCTCTCCTCTCTCATCCTCACACCACTTTTTCCCGCTCTCCTCTCATATTCTCCTCCACCTGTTCACACCCTAGCACAACTCTCACTTCTCCCCTTCTTTCTCTCTCTCCCCTGCTCTTTTCCTTCCTCACATCTCCTCCGCTCGCTCACACCTTAGACAGCACCCCCCTCTCTCTTTCCTCTTCCTCGCACCACTCTCTCTGCTCTTTCCCTTCCTTCCTCACGTCCTCTCCTCCGCTTGCATGTTCACACCCTAGTGCATCTCTCCCTCCTCTCTTACCCTTTTTCTTTCTCTTCCTCACCCTCCTCTGTTCCGTTCACACCTTAGAACACACCCCTCTCTCTCTCTCTCTCCATCTCCTCTTCACCCCACTCTCTCTCTCCTCCTCACCCCATATGTTCTCTGTTCCGTTCACACCTTAGCACACACCCCATCTCTCTCCATCTCCTCCACACCCCACTCTCTCTCCTCCCCCTTTCTCTTCTCCTCTCTCCATCTCTCTCTCTCCTCTGCTCTTTTCTCTCCCTCCTCTCATCCTTTCCTCCATTCACACCTTAGCATCACCTCCCCCACTCTCTCTCTCTCTCTCTCCTCGTCACACCACACACTCCCTCTCTTCTCCCCTCTCTCTCTTCTCCTCACACCACCCCTCTCTCTCTCCCCTTTGCTCTTTTCCCTCCCTCCTCACATCCTGTCCTCCGCTCGCTCGCTCGTTCACACCCTAGCACCACCTCTCCATCTCTCTCCCTGTCTCCTCCACACCCTACTCTCCCCTTCTCTCTCTTTCCTCCTCACACTATCTCACTCTCTTCTACTCTATTCCCTCCTTCCTAACGTCCTCTCCTCCCTTCACACCTTAGCATCACCCTTCTCCTCTTTCTCTCTCTTCCCTCCTCACATCCTGTCCTCCGCTCGCTCGCTCTCTCGCTCACACCCTAGCACCACCTCCCCCTCACTTGCGAACAAACCAGAGGATCCGCCCGAATCCGCCTCCCTCTCCAAATGGCATCCTCCAGGG